ATGGAAAAATGCTCACTTAGAAATATGCTCACACGGAAAAAAGCTCACACAGAAGTATGCTCATATGGAAAGAAGCCCACTGATAAATAATTCATATAAAAATATCCGTACATTAATGAATCAATAATTAATCGATTTGAACATCGTATACCAACTTGAATTTTCTAAAGAAAAATTATTTAAATTACCAAAACATCTATGGTATATATTTCAAAAACTTTATAACTCGTGTGTAGATTCAGTTGCTACACAAGATTAACAAATAGGCCGTTTTGAATTAAAAGAAAAGGAGAAAGGAAGTAAACATGAAACAGAATTATACAGTAAAAAAATTATTACAATTTAAATTCTTAAAAAAATAATAAATAATAAATATAAGTTACACATTTTATAATATAAACATTTAGAAGAATAATGAATGAGAATTTAGAATAATTATTTTATTTAAATTACTTAAAATATTTAATTTTATCACCGATTTCATCATAGTTTCTTACATGGTTCAAGATTACAAGTAAGTTTTTTATGTTTTCTTTTTTTTACTTCAAAACATCCTGTATTTACATTAGCTAATAACAAATGTTGAGATGCTAAATCTTTTTTCAGTCCGTCAAATAAAAACCACATACTAAGATGGCTACAATTAAATAATGAATTTAGTGCGTTATGAGAGCCTTCGCAACAATTTGTGGTTTAAGGAGATTTTCCGATGGCTGCCTCATAATGTTCGACTGAGAGGTTTGGTTTGGTTTGGTTTATTTAATTATGGCAAAGCACACTAGAGCCCTAGTGTGCTTTGCCATAATTAAATAAACCAAACCTAAGGGCTGCCTAAGGGGATGGATGCCTTCGTGGAGGACTTTCTAAGGTAAACTGGCTCGTATACACGTTACACGTGGGGAAAACCACGAAAACACTCATGCAGCCAAACCGTTCGCGGGATTCGAACCTCGGACCGAACTACCAATGTTTAGCGACTTTACCGTTCGGCCGTTGGTGGGCCTTCGACTAAGAGGCATCATCAAAGTGCCTAAAAATGTTAATTTTATTTCTAGAAATTTTTAATTTCTGCAGAAATTTTACAACTTTTTTGGCTCAAAACTTGAATAACTACATTCAAACATCAATTTCTATAGATACACATCAAAAGTATGCAAAAATAGAGTAAAGAAACAAAAATTAATTATTAGCAGTTACAGGAAAAAAATGTCGTACAAGGGCAGCGGTATAAAATATTACAGTACATGGAAAATTTTACTACAGTTTTCATGCTTTTATTTATCGCCCCTGAAAAGGTTAATGTGAGCATTTGTCCATGTGAACATATTTCATGTGAGCTTTGTTCCGTGTGAGCATATTTCTAAGTGAGCATTTTTCCATGTGAGCTTTTTTCTATGTGAGTATATTTCTTTGTGGACTTTTTCCCTGTGATCTTTTATACCTGTGAGCATTATTCTGTGAGCATTTTTCCTATGGGCTTTTTTCCTGTGGGCATTTTTCCGGTCACCAGGATGGATGCAGCCGATTGCAACGAAAAAGGAAGGTGCACAACTACATGTTTTAGCAGTCCCAAGTACAAAATTTCAACGTTCTGAGGCTATTCGTTTTTGAGTTATCCGAGATACCTAATCCATTTTAAATCAATTTTATAATTCGTGTAAGCACGATTGCAAATTATTTATTGTTATTAGACAGAATATCTCCTGAGAAATGGCAATAGCTACTTTCTGCATATCGTTCTATTTTACTCGTATATATAGTCAGAGATGTATATTGGTACGATGAAGTAAGAACGTCTGTTATGATATATACGTTAAAGAATGAGTTGCATATACGTTATTAAGTTACGAGTACGATTTATCTTTATATAAATATTTGTTTGTCTTTTAAAAACGGTCTTAAGATTGATTAATTTAAATACAAAAGGAAGCTAACATACGTTTGGGGGGGGGGGGAAGTCCTTTATTCTCTTCTTATGTACAGATGCCACGCAAAACATCGTTAAACTGCGTTCGATAGCGGTCAAAATGGATATTTTCTTTGAAATATTGATAACCGGAATTTTTTATGATTACAATACTTCCTTTCCTTCGTACAAGGAAGTAAAAATAAAAGAAAATCAAAATTTGAGTTTAGAGGTGAATATGCTCTAGTTCACGTCTACGTGTGCTCAAAAATTGACGTCAGTTTTTCCACGGTACCATGAGCTCAAAAGCTCATTCTTCATTTCTTAATCATTTAGCTTACAAATCGTTATTATTTTGAATGAAAACTTTAATTGTTTAAATTAAATCAAAAGTTAAGCATTTTCTAATTATTATCTTAAACTATATCCAACTATAGGCTATCAAAACCGTAAGCACTTGAATAACAGTTATTATAATACAAAGTAAAAAAGAACGTTATAACCTTAAATTTGCATTTAAATCATTCTGCAAAATTGAATGACTTAAATAGTCTCGTAAAATAAAAGTGAGAAAGTTAACTAAATAAGTGTTAAAATAAATAGATCAATATTCTACTTAATTTAAATAGCGAAAGGAAGTAAATTTAAACAGTCAAGGAGATTTATTTCTCTTAAACATTAGAATAATTTTAAAAGTGTCTGCGAATACTTCAAATTATTTCAACTATTAAAGGAAATCCAAGGAGTAAATACTGCGAGGTTATAAACTTTGAAAAGCAGAGAGATTTGAAAGTACAAAGTGTCATCGCATCATATTACTTTATGAGAAAGTTTTGAATAAATAGCGGAATAGATTTTGAATAAATTAACTTTTATTCATATTGGAACTCTTACTCGAATTTAAAATATAAGTGAAAGATCCGAATTATATTAACCAAGCTTTACTTGTCTCTTTATATAAATTATTATAGTTATGTAATAGGATATGTATAACAGATTCCAAAAATGATTAATATTGTTGAACAAACTACGTTTCCGTTTCACACTGGTTGGCAATCGTCATTAAATCAAAATTGAATTATTATGCTTACATAGTTTTTAAGGAACCTTGCTGATTTTTCATTGTATTAATTGATTGAAACATATATAGTAATTCATTATCACCCTTATAGTGGAATGGATTCTTTATCAATTAGAGGTTAGGACAAAATGATAGAAATAGCCTGTATGATTATTATATTCGGAAACATAACGTACTAGCAGTCATGAATATTACTTTATTATGTATTTGCAACAGTCATAAATATGGCATGGCAATAATCACGAGCAATGGCAATAATCACGAGCATATGAATCACGTTTCACTATGTTAACTTATTTTCCGCTATTCTCGGTTGGAAAATTTTGAGCCTGGAAAAGGAATTTATTTCTGTTATTTTAAAATAGGCACTTCAAGATCAAAACGAAACGTCCCTTATTTCCTATCGTAACGTGTCTCGTCATCACCGCATAAAGAGAATTGGAAGGATTTTAGCAAATAAGAGGAATCGATTTTCTTTCCGCAATGCCCAATACCATGGTTACAATCCATGGTTTGCGGGAAAGAAATGGTCTTGATACCTCTCTTTTAAAGTAACAAACGATAGTAATAGTCCGGTCCATAATCAACAATGTAAATAACCATTGCTATGAATTCCAAGAAATTTCAGTTTTACTTAAAGAGGCTTGCCCGGAAATTTGTAAGCTTGGTTTGACAGACAATAGGGATTTTCTTTCTTTCTTCCTCCTTTTCTTTCTTTCTTCTGCCCGCTCCTGAAAGGAGGGAAAAAACTCTTCTCTTTCTTTCCTTCTATCTACTGACGGAACAATAAGCTACTAAAGTCTGTAATACGACAACTGCCCATCTAACAGTACAGTCTGTCTATCATAAGAAAAGCTCTCGCCAATTAGTCTACAACTGTCTATTGCCGTGGAAACGAGCTTTGACAACGCCACCTAGTCTAGGTGGCGTTGGCTTTGAACCATTTTTCATAGGGTTGTCTTGAAGATTTACTTTTCAGTTTGCTACCTTGGCGTATTTAATTGGCGAATTGGCAACCCTTGGTTCGCCCTTATATGAAATATACTAGCCCTGTTGCTATAGCTACTGCCACCCGCCAGACATTTTGGCGGAATCTGTTCTTCTCGTAGACAGACAGTACAACAGTAACATACTTGAAAATAACAAACTAAAAATAACATTCTAAGTTTTGATTTTGTTATCATTACTGCGAAAAAAATTAAAATTGGCTGAAATTGGCAAAGTAGCAGACAATCATTTTAGAAACAAAATAGTAATTCTGTGTAAATGGAAGATCCAAGTTTCTAAGGGAAGATTATAATCAAATTTTATACGATTTTCATGTAAATATGTTTAGAATTTTAAGCCAGTAATTTTTTTTTAAATTTATTTTCTAGAAATTGAATTTTAAAAAAAATCAGGCCAAAAATAGTGATTGTCATTATTATATCTTAAGCACCACTTTTATATTTATTAGCACGTAGTGTCTAAAACAAGAACAGAAATAATAAAGTAAAAATTAAATCTGAATTCTAATATGATGATTCATTTAAAATATTTAATTATATACTCTTAAGCAGAACTCATTTAAAGCGCAAACACATCAAATATAAAATCGCAACGGAAAAAGCGAATATTAAATTGATTGCATCTTTCTCGCAGAAAATCCTTTCAAAATAGATATTACACTTGTTTTCGAACGTTTCTATTTCGAGCAGGTTTTACTGCATACCCTCATATTTCCAGTACTAAGCGAGAATAAAAATTACAACCTACATAATACTATTCACATATTTAATAAATTCCAATCAATTTTTATGCTCATATTTGAAGAAAAAAAAAGTATTTTTGTCATCGATGTTTATGCTGCTTAACTAGTTGCAATTAGTTATTAATAAAACACATATTATGTGTAATTAATTCCAATATCCAAGTTCTTGTGGCTAACCATAATATTTAAAAAAATTAAGCATAAACTAAGATAATCATAAAATACCTCAAAAATATCATGTCGTTATTTAAAAAGAAACTTACCATTTTCATTCAAGACAATAACTCCCAAAACACTTTTCTTATGAATCAGTCTTTGATAAATATCTTCAGCTTCATTCTTTAAAGGGAAAAAATTAATATTAAAGTATTTCCCAATTTATATTGGTGCACACACAAATATATATATATATATATATATATATATATATATATATATATATATATATATATATATATATATATAATATTCAATATTAATAAATAAAGTACTACTAGGAAATATTATTTTATTGCTTAGCAGCTTAAGTGCAAGATTTACGCAATTAATTACTAATAATTACCTTATACAGACACACATATATATATATAAAGGTTTAACTTACTTCAGTTACATCCATTATAAACCAGCTGCAACTAATCATTTATTGACATAATGTTCATTCTTAATGAACAATATTTCCAATCAAATAAGTAAGCTATTGCCGTTCATAACTGGAAAAAGAAAATAGACTTCCTATTCACGATTCTTAAAAACTCATATCAGCGGTTTGTATCAATCCCAGTTGCGTAGCAACCAGTTATGCATCTAAAGTTACAGGTTTAGAACAGGAGAAAATTACGTTTCTACAAAACGTGCTAGTAATGCTGTGAGAGAAAAAAGTATTATTGCAGATTCCATTTTTAACGCTGGGAAGACTCAAGATTAAAAATAGTGAAAACTGCAAATAGCATAACAGAATTTTGGAGTTAAGAACAAATATCAGTGATCAGTTTCTTTAAAACACTACAGACGATTTTGAAATATTTAAAAAAATATTAAGACCATTTTTTTATTGAGACGAGAGTATGTACTAAATTCTTCAGAAATTACTTTTTGATTTTTTGACAGGCAAGACGTTTTAAAAATCGTCTGTAAGTCAGGAATAATTTCCTTGCATTAGAAAAGAGGTACTTTGATCATCCTCATCAAATACATGAACAAATAATAAATAAAAATACAGAAATTAAAATATAAGTCTAAAATTAAAGTTATAACAAAACTTTTAAAAAAATCTGAAGGGTTTCAGATTTTAAATTACGTCCAAAAGGGCCTTTTTTTTTTTTTTTTTTTTTTTTACATTTTATGTGTTACCTTTATTTATTAAATATCATGTTCTTCTCACTTAAATTACAAAATTCAGTTCAAGAGCAATATCGCAACATAATTTTAAAATGAGCATCTCTTTAGAATTTCCTATACGTACTCTCGGCGCGCTGGAGATAAAAATGTTTTTCCCCCGTGCAGTGTTGCCATTGTTCGCTTTGAAATCGTTGAGTTTGTTAATCAATAATTCGTTAAAGTTTTCCAAAATATGAAATCGATAATAAAACAAATTCCAAACTTCAAATTTGGGCTTCCAGATGCCTATATTCGTAGGAGGATTACGTTATTCAAAATTTCATGGCTCTAGGTACCGTTGTTTTATCACAATGCGAGAAACATACATACGTTTATGCAGATTCTTCATTATTTGATTTCTTTAAATCTAATACAGGACGACAGTATTTGGTGGCAACGATTTGAAAGTGATACAGCCTAAAATTTTCAACGCAAAATCACAAAACGAAAACAATAGTTCTTCGTGGACAAGCCCCTGTGGACTGAAAATTTGGATAATCTAATTATTACTGACATAATGCTAATTATCAACATCAGATTATTTTTATAAACTAAGCCTATTCAAGATTAAGTATGCCTGCCCTATAGTTTAGAGTATACTGTAGAAGATTTTTTCAGCTTTGAAGATTATAAGACTTGTCATTTTTTTTAAACATAAGTCGATGTTCTTGGGACAGATTTTTCATTCTACTGTCATGCAAGACCCGTGATCCCGGCTATCATAGTTCTGCTTCGATAGTTTTTTTTATTGCTTCAACAGAGAAGGTCTTGTAATTTTAGAAAGTGTACCCAAACTTTCTAATAATTTTCGACTAAATTCATAAATAAATTTTAACAATGATATCGAATAATCGTTTCAAGTTCTTTATTTTACTTCAGTTCCTCAACATAAAAACTGTCACCCCCACCTATTCAACTGAATCTCGATCAGGTATTGTGAAAGAAATTAGGGAACAAATTGATTTCTCCCATATATTAATCCTATTGTTAAGAATTATGTATATATGTCAATAATGAAGTTGTGTGTAAGTTGTAGAATCTTCCGTAGAGTGTAATATTGTTGCATGCGTACGGGTTCGTAATGGATTGAATGCACAAGTTGATAAAAAGTTAATAAAATTTATTCTTATCCCAAGAAATTATACAAAATGCTGAAATTTCCTCAGAGATACTCGTACAATATCGCAATATCTCACCGTAGTTCTATTTTGACCTACTAAAATATGAATAGAACTCAATTCAAAACAGAGAAAGCTAATCCGATCTCACCGCGAATTCGCTACAATCAATAACAAGAACTAAGTAAACAACTGAACAACAACTGAATTGAGATATTTTCCTCCCGCTTTTATGAGCTGTTTAAACGCACGAGAATATTCTGGTATTTTCTCGACTTTTTTATAGCAAAAGGGTATAATTACGAGATATCTATTTATTAAAATGTTAAATGCACGTGCTCCTATAATTTAATTTTTTCGGTGTAGCTATTTCTTCAAATAAGTCTCGCGCTGCATTGCACGGGAATATAAAACAATTTTAATTACAAATTATACTAAAAATAGCTAAATAAATACAAAAACCGTAACAATATTAATGGCACAGTATCCGAAGCGTCAGTGGAAATATTGAGGTAAAATGGCTTAGCGAGATAGCTCGAAGCTGGCGATGATTTTCGTAACTAAATTTTTTTTCCCAAATTTGGTGAGAAATGGACAAAAGTCGCCAAGCTTAGTGACCATTTATCGATATTTTGGTCTTATCCCTGTGTAACAGTAACTGGGCTGAACCTCATGTAACTCTCTCTGCATCTGGCCCTATGTAACTGTGGCTGTGTATATCTTCCAGCAATTTCGAGAAATCGAAGTACAGGACATTTCTGGGCGGACGGAGGAAAGACGGAAGAGGGTATGAATGAGAGTTCAGAGTTTTCAGCTCAGAGTACTGAGAGATCACCATGTGAGCTTTCGCTTTTTAACGTGCTTTGCATCGTCTTATGTTCAATGTTCTTAGTAGCTTGAGGTGGTAAATACTGATTGTGCTGCCTCATACTAAGAACAGCTCTATGAGTACTTTTGTGTGAAAAGTTCCAGAACTGTAAAATGTTTACGGAAAAATAAATTTCATCAAGCTATCATTGATTCAATGTACATTCAATAAATTACGCACCCGTAGGCAAGTAGAAATTTTTGGTATTAGAAATTACTTATTAGAAACGGAACTGAATGCTGAAGACAGGAGTAATGGATGAGCAATTAAGACTGCTGGTGACAACCTTTGCTGCATTCCAAGAAGAGATGAATGCGGGCCAACAGTTCGTCAAAGAAGCGCTGAAAAACGTTCCGGAAAAAATCGAAACGAACCAAGAAAGATGGAAGGGTCTGTCAAGTCAGTTCCAAGGAGAGACGAAAGTAGGCCACGATTGGTTAAAAAAAGAGATGAAAGGTGTTGAGGAAAAATGAAAGTGGGCCAAGAAAAGATGGAAGGATCTGTGAGGTATGTTCAAGAAAAGATTGAAGCAGGTCAAGAGAAATTGCTGCCATAATAAAAAACAAATCCAAACCTATGCAAAGCAGAACAGACACGACTGAAAATAAAGTTAGAGAATGAAAGTAGAATGTCCACTGCCAAACAGCAAATTGATGGCAAAGTTTCTACTGTCGTCAAGAAAGCTGACAGCTTGAACAAACCTATAGTGACAGGTGGAAGCAATTCTGGTAGATTTAAATCCCTTCCTATGTCTTTCAGACCCAATCTAAATGTTTCCGCGTGTGATGGAGAGACCTCTTCGCAAGTGTTCGCAAAGTTTCTACTGTCGTCAAGAAAGCTGACAGCTTGAACAAACCTTTAGTGACAGGTGGAAGCAATTCTGGTAGATTTAAATCCCTTCCTGTGTTTTCCAGACCCAATCTAAATGTTTCCGCGTGTGATGGAGAGACCTCTTCGCAAGTGTATAATACTCAAATCTCTTTAGAGGAGGAAGCAAATGGATGGGATTCCAAAATTAAGACCTGCTACTTAGCTGCATCTCTGACAGCAGAAGCAGCGGATAGCCTTCAAACTCCGTTCGAAAATCACAGGCTAAACTTTGATGCTCTATCCAGAGCTGAGGAGCTGCACTTTGGAGAAAAGTGCATAAGATTATTACTTAAGTTGACCACTTATTTATAATTTCAGCCTTTACTATAACTTCTCCTTTTCGTTTTCTCATCAGAGGTGTAAAAGAGTTTAGAGGGTATTTAAGCTGAGGTTTTCGGATTGTAAAACAGAGCATGTCTCTCCCTCTCGAGGTCTCGTTATTTATTTTTGCCAGCTCTGATAACAGTGTGATTATTCGGCTTTGCGTTATAGCTGGCGTCATTTAAATTGTCACGTTGGTTTGAAGTCCTGAACCAATTTAGTGTTAGAGTTATAATGTGTAGTCTTGACAATTAGCTTACATTTTACTGTTTTTACTGTTAAGTTGCATCGCCACAAACGGTGGTTGATGATGTGAGCACATGACGTGAATTTTTATATTCAAAAACTAATTTAATTGCAAAAAAAAAGATGTTTTTGACTTTCTCAAGACTTCATTTCAGACCCAGCGATAAAGAGTTTGATACTAGTTTGTGCTCCCAAACAAAGTCAGACTCTACAAGAGTTTAAAAAAAGACTATAGCAGGCTTCAAACAACAAAAGCCCACTGAAACAAGGAAGCCAACAAAAGCCAACTGAAATATTTCAGGAGCTCAACACGGAGGTTGAAACGCTGTTTCATCTCTCCTTTTTGTACTGATCAACAGAAGCAAAATAATTCTTGATCCTACAGTACTTTATCTATAGTATTCATGACCCTGTGATACAGAAAGGCCTGTGAATGGCGGATGTGAAAAATGTAAAAAGCGCTTCAGTGAAAGACATAAAATTCGAGGCAGCACAGCATACAGCCCCCCAGAGACCGTCATCCAATCAGTACTGCTGATGTCCAGGAGTGAGAGAATCAACTCACCACTCGTCTACACAATTTTACCTATTAATTCAGTGCCTTGAGGCAGAATATGAGTGATAACAGATTGAATCTAAAGAGCTGAAAATATGGTGGTGAAGGCCACATTCAAAGGAATTGCAGAACACCCCAAGTGAAAGAACCTGCAATAGCTCCCCATAAAGGAGTCGGAAAACAAATTGCAGGTCATCTTGCGGGGCGAAGGCTGCCAGATATTAAGAAGACCCATTTTAAAGGGGTTCAAATTTTAAAAAAAATGGCAGCATTATTGGAACATATAAATGGAGTAGAATACATAAATGAAGTGAGTTCCATGCATTATGACCATATATCTAGAAGCCAATGTTACCATCGTCCGATAAGATCTCACTCAACGGTTGGAAAGTAAGCTCATCTAGATTTTGTCTTGCGTTATCCTCCAGACTATGTCCGATGTAAAAATCAACATATATGAAAGGTTAAACGTTAACATCACGTTCGGAAGCGTAGCCTATCATCATCATATATGGGAAATATTACAAAACTTTGCATTCTCAGATTAAACTTTCTAAGGAAATACAATTTTTCTTTGGATTTTAAATATAATTACGCTTCTGCACGTACAGAATCAATAACAAAAGAGTC